CGAATTTACCTAATTTTCTTTTCACATTTTGATATTCCCATTCAACTTTTTGATCTGAGAATAGTGTATCAGAAGTACTAGATATTTTGGTAGGTTGAACTTGAACTGAATCGGGTATTTGAATAGGGTTTGTTTCAGGTATAGGGGAATTGGAGATTCGATGCTCTGCATCATCTGGTACTTGAATAGGACTAATTAGTGGAGCTATAACATTAGGTTTACATGGAAATTTTCTATTCTGAAGATGACGATTAAGCATCCATAATTTTTTGAATTCTTTGTTACATCTATCACATGTATGAATCATTTTGTATGTAGTATATATCTACAGAATTATAATATAATACTTATAAAAATCTTTTGTTTAATTAATTATTTCGATATATCAAAAGGGTACTATGTGGTTCAGTACTATAATAGATTACGTGCTAAGGTTTCAAAAATAGAACCTTGATAAGTGAAAAAACCTGGCCCAAATTTTGTTACCCTTTGATATATATGTGTCGGAGACACTAGCTCCACTATAATACGAAATTTTGTTACCTATGATTACATTTTTTGTTACCCTTTGGTATATATGGTATGAAATTTTGTTACCCTTTATGGTATATGGTCGCATTTTTTGTTACCCTTTGAGGTGTATGGTCACATTTTTTGTGCCAGAAAAGTAGTGAAGAATCGGCTTTAGAATGCTTTCTAGTATATCAAATATTAATCATATGTGATTTGAGCTTGAGAGAATGTCAGAGCATCATTGAGATATTCATTTTCATTCATATCTTCGCCAATGCTCTTCCTCTTTTTTAACATCAAGCTGGATATCATAAATATTTGTTATCTTATTTGATATGAATTTTGATAATTAAGTGTGTTCTGGATATATAAAAAATGATATGCTATTTGGGGTTTAAATGACGATTTGATATGCAAGCTGGATATCATAAATATTTGTTATCTTATTTGATATGAATTTTGATAATTAAGTGTGTTCTGGATATATAAAAAATGATATGCTATTTGGGGTTTAAATGACGATTTGATATGCAAGAATGACTTGAGTGTGCCAGAACACCCATTTTTGCCCTACTTGGGCTAATTTGAATTTCATAATGCATTTAAATGGTGGTGACAGTAAAAATATTATGAAACACAGTAAACTCAAACTAATCCAAACCAACCACAAATGCAATTGGATTATTTAGTTCTGTACAGAAAACAGAAGCAATTATTTGAAAATCAAAAAGTATCATCCATTATTTATACTTTCTGCATGAAGAACAAATTAAATCAAAGCACAGACAAAATGGATAGGACACTTATAAAAAATTTGAGAGAATATAGATAAAATAAATGTTTAATTGCATGTTACAATTAAAATCTTTATAGAATAAGGCAGTAACTAGCTTTCTTTTTAACTGGTGATAATTCATATGTTTAATATCAGTAAATATTTGATTAAATTAATAATGACAAATATATAAAGAAGATATTTATAAATTAAATTAACTATTAACAAAGAAAATATAGTAATATTTAATTATTATCAATTATTTGAAATACTTCTAAATAATCATATTTACTTTCATGTACTAAATTGATGTTATTATAAGTTATTGGTTGACTGTAAATACTACCACCTTCGTAAAAACAAAGATCATTAGCATCCTTTCCAAAAAGAGGTAAATAAGAAGGAATACACTGTATTGCATGTTTATAATCATTATTAATAACATAACTAAATTGTGCAGTATTAACATCATTTCTATTGCTAATATTAAATATAAAACTTTCAGTTGTACTCTTATGTATACCGCCTTTAGGTGCATTCCAATTTAGTGGATTATATCCACCAAATAT